ACACTGAAGTTCATTACATCGAAGTCCAACTACACACATGCTTGAAAGAGCTACTGACATGATGCAAAGCAACATCCAAAACTAATGCACGTACTCAATGTCAAAAACAGCATGTCCCACAATCGTGCAATCACTAAGATGCATTATTATGTGATATACATATACATAGTTTTGTAATACCTTGAGAAAGAATAAACTTGAACTTGAAAGCATTACATCATCACAGCCACTAAATCAGTTCAGTGGCTGTGATGCAATGAAACTAAATTGCAATGAACCAAATTGCAATGAAAGGCAAACAGAGGCAATGCTGAGGTACACTGAGTAAAATCTATCAGTAAATAGTAAAGCTGAGGCAAACAATCCAAAGCCCAGTAGTGACATTTGTTTACAAATAGGCATCAAGTGTGGCAGCCAAAAAACAATGCAAGTATCCTTGGTGGGCAACATCATGTAAACAACCTGTATGTTAAGGTTCACAACTGCTAAGGCACAAATGTTTAACTGTCAGTATTGTTGAAACAGAGTCAGCAAACTTGCAGCAACCACAAGTGTATTTGCGAAGTGTACAGCAGCTGCTGCACATCCTGGTTGCTAAACACCTATTCACTCTCACATTGCTAACTAGCTTCTTAAAGATGTTAGCAACTGGTGGACCGTTTCGCTCAACATAGTCATTTCTACTTTTATTGCGATAGCAATAAAAGTAGAGTGTGCTGCACACTCTCGGCTGGATTTTGCTGCCGGCGTCAACGTCGTCGTGGATGTCGCCGCCACTCACCATATATGTATACGTATCTATTTATATGAAAACGCAAGAAAAAAATCCAGAAAAAGACTCTGGCGCACAGAATCGAACATAGGACCCCTGAAACGCGAGTGCAAGGTGTTAACCACTGAGCCAAGCAGGTGCACATCCTTCAACATTTAAACGGCAAACTATTTATATCTACCACTTACTGTTGGTGACAGGAGTCTCGGGGGGGGGGGGGGGGGGGGACTATTGTGTTTTCAGCATTACCAGCAAGATGGTGCAATGAGCGCGCGTCGGCATGTCGGCATGACGACGTGGCGGCGCACGCTCTCATCTCCCACGTATACTTTGCCCCGCCTATAGAAGGGGGTAGACGCTCACTCACGTGCCCTATCTCATGGTGGGGAGGATCGTACGTCTTGGTTGGCCTTTGGCTTTCACTGGAACGATTCTGTTGTAGTTATCGGGCGCACAAAGGTCACAGCAATCGATGCACAGTCTCCGTTTGCGAAAAGAGCGCGCTTTTCAGACACAGCGAAGTAGAAACCGAGATGCTTACAGTGATGCAACTGAGGTCTGTTGATATGAAGCAATATTTGGAGCAGCAAAAGTTGCATTTTGGAGCACTTTGTAGCAGCGAAAATTTCCATTTTGGAGCACTGTGGAGCAGCAAAATTTTCTATTTTGGAGCAATCCCAAGCAGCTAACTTCACATACTAAAGGAAAAGCAAGTAGCAATTACATTCAAGGACATGAATAAATATTTAAGGGCTCTTGTGAAGAGCTAAAATTATTCTGATTAATTACAAACCTCATGACGCCAGAGATCTTAGGAGCAGTCTATATTTAACTTGATGATGCAAAAATAATGTCATTATGCTGTTGAGCATTCTAGAAAAACTTGTGCAGTAATTATTTTCCTAGCAAATAAACGGAATACTGATTGAATAAAATAGTACTTCATGAAATAACATTTTGAATGTAACCATGTGGTTATTAGCATATCTGGTAGACAAATGCTAAAGACTCGCTCAGTCCGTACTGCATTTATCTAAGATGAATTGAAAGATTAAAAAAAAGTTTTTTTTTTCTTAACAACTGATTATATTGCTGGGTGTAACATGACGTCATTTAGCAAGTCTATAATGCCAACCTCATTCGGCACTCGTCTCTTTGTGCTGGAACTGAACAATTTACCAAGCTTTGTTTTCCTTTTGCACCGGTGTTTTATGTGGCCAGAGCGTTCTGTCTATACACCCAAAACCCCCTATTGTGTACTCTAAAAAGCAGTGCAAAAAGAAAAAAACATCAAAGGGTACCTTACGCATTCGCCTAAGACAACTTGAAGGCAAGAAAAATGAGATCAGTTCACAACTAGGTTTCCTTGGTAACGTGTGCTGCACCACACATTTACGGTTTTGTCATGTGTGCAGTGTCACGTGGAATGAGCTATATAATTTGTTGTAAGGGTACACAATAAACAAAAGTTGGAAGTTAGCGCTTACACTGTCATCTGTTTTTTCCCTTCTTGACTGTATAGCATCTTTTCTTCACGCTGAAAACGAGCTACACTAAAGCAATATCATTTTATCATTAACCAACTCGCCCAGTCAGAAGTACGTGTTGAAGGCGACAGCCATTATGTTTTTATTGCGACAGCAATTAAATCAATATTCTGGACTAGACTTTGTCGTCGCCAGGGGGGTAGGAAGGAATATCTTTCATTTTTAAGGGGGGGAAGGCACCTTGATTTGAAGGAGGGCAGGCAGGCAAATGGTCCTTTTGCACAATATGTGCCATGACAGCAAAAACAAACTTCAGGGGGAGAAGGGATGTTCCAGATTCCCCCCCCCCCTAGGCCACTGGCTGTCACCATCATGTTTTGAGTAATGTCCAAATTAACAACATTCTCCCACACATTGTGTTTTGCACGCGGGCAAAAATGCGAAAGCGGGGGCAACGAACGCGGCTGAAGCAGAGATAATAGAGTCGATGTATCTCCTTCGCACAGAGAACGGATGCAATAACATCACCTCAAAAGTCAGGCCTGCCATAGATTGTTACTCAAGCAGAGAAAAAAGTGCCACCTGTTTTCAAAAAGCAGGAAACAACTTGGACCGCAAGGGGGGGGGGGCTTGTTATATGAACTTTGACTGTAAGGGTGTGATCGCTGGCGCACTCACTATTTTGGCAGGCATTAAAGACAGATGGTATACCCTTCTACCTAGTACTCTCAATGCAAAGTGACTGTGGGCAAGAGCTTCGCTTTCTGAAGAGGCCATATAGAGATGTGCACCGAGTCTTGATCGCAAGGGGGCCACACCTTAGTCGCACCATTTTGGAGGTTCATTCGTACGCCCCGTTCGCCGTTCATAAAATCACACTTATCTAGAGCAGCGGAACGCCTGCCTGTCAAGAGCGCTGTTGGCCGCGGCTACCACCTCATGTTAGCTACAAGCTTCCGTCGATGCTTACATTATAGCACAAGTACTTAACACGCAGTATGACTATGTTTGGTATAATTATGGCGTCTCTTCACATATTTCTAAAAAAAAAAAAAAAAAAAAAAAGTAGGGCAGCTGGAACCACTGGCTGAGCGCTCTAAACAAGTCTTGTTCTATTTGTACCTGTGTCGGCGTGCAAGAGGTGTTTCAGGGGTGTCTAGTCATCAAAGTTGCTGTACAGATATCGAACATCGCGTGTTCAGCAAGTTTTTGCGAGTGCGCGGACCTTCGAAATGGCAACCCCGCCACTAGTGCATGTCGCGGACGACGTCAAGCCTTATTATTTGGTATAAAAATACAATTTGTAGGTATCGCTTTCATTGCTAAGATCATAAATGATAGTAACGAATTGTATCTTTCGGACTCTATATCGCGTAAATCAAAACGGTGGCTGAAGGGACAATAGCCATTCCAGTAGCTGAAGTGGTTTTCGTGCTGTCAATTATCTGAAATATGAATCAGTGGTTAGTAGAAAGTTTTTGAGCAGTCTCATTATGCCTCGAGCTATAGCGCGTCCAGGACTGCGCCCTTGGCGCGACGCAACCTCCCTCACCCCCACCCCTTAAAAACAATTTAAGCAATGAATGCAATGCCAGGATGTTCGAATTTGTCTTGTTTTTAACCGTACGCTACTGAGCCTGTAAATTGAGGGGCGTATGAGCAACATGGCGAAGCCGCTTCACAGTGGGCCTTCTGGCAATAGCCGCCAGCAATGACCCCACCACTGAAAACTGCGTGTATTAAAACCGAATTGCGGCTGCTCCAACCAGGATGCATGCTTTCATTGATTAGATAACATTTAAAAAAAAGCTCGCGGGAATATCGTAGTGAGACCCTAGCAATATCGAGTTCAAAAGGGCAGAGTCTGTTGGAGGCTTTTACCGCAACAGCGATTACAAACGCTGATGTGTTGCAGGAAGGCAATACAAAAAAGCTTTTCCGAATGAATATCCAGGAATAAAGTATATTAGAGAAAATGTGCCAACGCATTCCCATTGTTCATGTGTTGTTCTGTGGACGCAAACACAAAAAATTAGATCGTGATGTCCAGAAATAGACGCGACAGATATTCTGGCGGCATGCAGAGAATTATTGGTAAAAAACCATTCAATTGCATGCCGCGCAACTCGTCAAATGAGCTATCAACAGCATTCCTAGAACGGACGACATCCGTCTGATGAATCATCGCAACAGTTTTACGCCATCAATTAATTGGATTAGACGTCACAAGCCCCTGCAAGTACGTTTCGCCATTAAACAAATTTGCTGAACAAAAGTTGCGTCAGCAACAAACACAGCATCGTGGATTATTTAGAAAGCAGGTACAACTGCTGTTTATTCAGCAGAATAACTATAGGTACGCGATTGCGACTTTGGTGGCCCCAAGAAATAGGTGAACAGGTTTTGACGAGCCGGCATGGATATCACTGGTGGTAGACGATTCCAAATCTCACTTTGGCGAAATTTTCTTTGATATTATCAGGATGGCGCAGTAAATTTGATTTGGCGCACTTTGGCACAGTTGGCTCAGGAGTGAGATCACTGCAATTATTCGCATTTATCGGAATGTTTTATGCATTATTTGTGCGTGAGAAACGTGGGGCACGTTTCAATCTGCCTGCCATTCTGCGCATGACCTTCCAATTTGTTGCTATCGCGTTCATTGCTTCACCTTTGCAGCTAAGCTGTGACTTTTTTTTTTTTCAAGCTTCAGAATTGATTGAAAGCGTAGCAGTACTTACACTGTGGTTCAGCTTATCCTCATGGCTGTGCTGACTGTTTAGCTGCTTCTTTTTTTTCTTTTTCTTTTTGCGGCGTTTAAGGCTGTCAGTGCTCTGGGTGGAATCCTGTTTCTCTAGTTTGCTCCTAGGTAACTCATCTGCAAGCAGCACGCTTTCCTGGGGAGCCTCTGCTGCAGCTGCCCGAGCAGGCGGGGGCTCATTCTCTCGGTCATCATCCTCTTTGGCTGTGTCTGAGAGAGACTGTTCGGCTGACAGCCCAGTAAGCTGTAAAGACGAGAGCAAAAGACATGCAAAAGCTCAGCATAATAAAAAATTGTAATGAAATCACAGGCTGTCTGACTCACTAAGACACCCTTAAATGTGTAGAAAAAAGAAGTAATACCGATTTTTGCCTAAACCCATTTTCTATAAATACTGCAACCATCATAATTGCTCTAAATTTTTAGCTCAACCTTTTGCAGATTACTGAGGTACACACCATATGTTAGTTGTTTCCTGACAGCACATAGGAAATCTAACCTGCACTTGAAAAGGCCCTGTAACACATTCAAAGATAGTAAGTAAACTTGCTGAGTCACTATGAGATGTCATTAACAACCCAGGCATTATTCCTTTAAATACAACTGGATGCCCAGAACCTTGCTTGAAAGGCACAGCTCGTCCTTTTCTTCTTTTAGTTTTTCACTCCACACTTACAGAAAATGATGGTTGAAGAATACCCATTGCTATGCACCCTTCTAACAAGGGCTCCTTCAGTGCTGCTGTGTTGCCCTCTGGACTATTGTGAATAAGTGTCAACCCCCAAAAATGCACATCTAAGCAAAAGTTCTGAAAAGATATGCTGCCCCTCTTCAATGAAAAGGTATACATGGAAAGGGCTCCATGCCAAATTCTGACTGAACTGCTAGACACTTCTCCTTGACAGCTGCTCTATGAGTCCTCCAAAAAGTTACAAGAAAGGTAAATAATGTGTAATATGAACAAGTATCACCGTGTCTGTATAAAATGCTTAGCTATCAAATGCAGCCATTCCTCTGAGGCTTTCTGGCATTCTTCTTTCCTTTATTCCCAGTGCTCAAGGATGCGCCAATGGATCAACAAAGAATGATGCTCGCATTGTTTTATGAATCATCATGCTGTGCTTGCTCAGCACATTTTGTTAGCTCAACTTAGCATAATTGAAAACCTCAAGGCCCTAACATCAAGTTAGTGTACACCAATTGATTGCCACCAGCCTGTTATCAGTCGTAGGATTTCTACCAAGGCATTGCTAAGACGTGAAAAATTTGTCCAATAGTAATTAGTACTTATCAAGTGCTCCCTAAAAGCCTACCAACATATTCTTACTTTTTTTTCTCGTGCTCAGCGAAGCTACTAGTCCTCTAGACGCTAGAAGAAACACTGACAAGGGCCAGGGTGCCCTAAACAACTTTGTCTATTTTTTTTCTTGGCAAGTTCCAGTATAATTTACAAAAGGACTACTACGTCATGATGCAGTGATAGAATTGACTTTTTACTTTTTGGAGCATACTTTGGAGCACGAAAAGTACTACTTTGGAGCAACTATAAGAGTTTTCAAAGCAGAAAAAAATGCTAGTTTAGAGCAGCTACTAGTGTCTTAGGAGCAGATATTAAATTTGCCATGCATTAATTGGAGTTCAGAGCATTGTCGAAGTATCTTCTAAATATTATTTATTGTGAAATGTATTTAGTATACAACAATCAAAGGAAATTTCATAATGCAAACAATGGCAAGTTGTCAAAAATGTGCTGTGAAATGAGCTACAATTTGAAATACGAGTATTTGGGGCAGAAATCAAATTGAACCAGAAAAGCTAAGCACCACATTTTAGAAGTAACCACAGTTCCATATAAGTGTTGCCAAACTAGAAGTAGACTATAAAAGATGAGATAAAAGCAATCCGGCTCATTTTCACAATTCACCACACTAGCCTGCATGTCCAACTGACAAAAAAAAAAAAAACAGCCAAATTGCCTATATGATCAATATGACAGTTCTCACGCACAAATGGGATCAGAGGCGACAATGCTGCACACTAATAGCACAATGATATAAAGGTGCACCAATTCTGCTTAAGGACTTACGAGTTGATCAAAGAGTAAAAATTTGTCACTCTCATTCTCTCAGTGTCATTTCGGAGCAGCTTTGGAGCAATTACAAACAAAAATTACTGTTCGGAGCAGCATGGAGCATTCTCTTTTGGAGCAGTTTGAAGCAGCACTTCCATCACTGATGCTGCATCACGACACAAAAGGTAGACGAAATTACAATATTTTAACACCGACTCCACCTTGAATGCCCCTACATGTTGTCAGGACTGACGTACCAGCACAGAAGATATACTCTTGCAACAAACAAAGTGTCTTTGACCTGATTTCATTTACCTTACATAATAAAAGATTGCGATGAGATATGTGCGTGAGATATATCTCTGCAGCCTTTACTGGTGCTCCGCGCAGTGCCGTCTACAACATGGCATTCATTCGAACAGTCTGAGCACAAACAAGCATCTGTTCCATGACACTTCTTCCTTTTTATGTCAGCGCCGTGCACAATGTTCAACAGTACCCTCAAAAAGTGAACCAATCATAACCTACAGCAGGTCTGGTGTATATTGCTCTTAAAGTGGTACTGACCCCACTTTTCAACGGAGAATTTACTGTGTTACAGAAATTTCTATATATAGAGATGACTCTGGGCAAGTGTGAAATTTGATAAATGCTGATAAGGTATTTTATTTTGATATTAGTCAATTTTTGCTTAGTGAACCTACTGTATTGGCACTAGCGTGACATCAGGCTACAGTGTCAATTCAGATGACTACTCTCTGATGACTTCACACATCAGTATGGCTAGTTCTGACGACGTCAGGGATCAAAACATACAGGATTGCAGTTAGCATGCTGCTAAAAACATTAAAGGCCACTTGTGAGTCACCAACTGAGCCATAATGTAAAGCCACCATGGAAATGTCCCAATATCATGCATCAGTTCGAGAAAAGAAGCTTATGCCTGCAGTGCTGTGACGTCAAGATACTGTATAAACTGAAACTAGCATTTAGAAAAATAGCATAATTAATTTTCAAGGGTGCACTCATAATCACTAGTATATTTTCCAGGCTCCAATAAAATATGGCTTTCACATAGCGAAAAAAGATGACAACTAAAAATTTTTGCATGATTACCTTTTTAAGGCATTTCTAACCACTTTTATAAGTAATCGAAGATTAATCAAAAGCTTATTGACTCATGAATTGATTGCCACCAAACATTTCATGGATCAATCAAGAACGAGTGGAGTTAGACTTGTGTCATACTTTAAGCACTCTATTTTTCTGTCCCAACAAGTGCTCTGGAAGCTACATGGGGGCGAGATAACAAAGGGAAAACAAGCCATGTCACGGACACACCATGACCTTGAGTGTACATCATGTCTTCAAGAGTGATTTTGCAGTGCACTAATACTACTACTATGTAACTTTAGCAGTTCCGTTGTGGGCACCTGACATCAGGATGGCACGTACCCAGAACAGAACAGCCTCTTTGATTGTTAAGTATACCAAAGTAAACCAAATATAGGATAATGTCATTACAAATACTTTGATGAAACATCGAAGGGCCACTGAAGAAAAAAACAATTTTTCTCATATTAGAAAATGACTATCTAGCAATACTGAAACCATCATGCTTGCTGCAAGATGATGATTAGTGAGAAAATGCTCAAAAAGAAAATGTGGGTGGCGATTACACTTTGAAATTCTCAAAGCCATACGCCATTCCCAATTGATAAAAGTGAAGTACATTGCTCTGTGAAAGGTTACAGAAATTTAGTTGGGCCCATGCCACCAAAATATGAAAAATACGCTTCGAAATACATGACGTAACATGTGGAGACTTTAAGAGACAGTTAAAATAGAAACTTTGATCTTGATTTTCTTCTCTATTAGCAGACATATCTTGATGAAATAAATGTTATTAGAGTTTTCAGAGTACATGTTATCAACTTAGATCAATTCACGGTCTCATTTAAGTGTTCCTTTAAAGAAACCCTGAAACAGTTGCGAAGATTTTGTACAAACACATTGAGCCAGTAGACCAAGTCCTAAGGGTCATTTACAGACTGATTTAAGCTCTTTGCATAAACTATATAATTTATTACAATGCTTTAAAGCTTCAAATCACTACAGATGACTATGGCCCAGCAAAACAGGTGCTCAGCCACCCATTCACAGTGTAGCTTCTGGTAGCATGGCATCACCCAGGCTCCTGATCCCATTGACTGTGGAATGCGTGGAAGATTGGCTGGTAGGGTGGCGGCACCTGTCATAGCAAATATCAACCACTCCGCGATCTTTGTCTATATTGCCAGAAGGCAAGCATGCTGCCAAGCGCACTAGGCTATGGTCCCAGAGATTATGTACAGCTCGTCGGCGTGCAATCTCGGAGGCCGTAACTGGGCAAAGCTCAAACCGTCCAATGTGCTCATGAGGGCACTGCAATCACCAGGGATGCCAGCACATCTCATGAGTTGAGGAGGCAAGGCAGGGGTGAGAAGGGGGTATAGATACAACTTCCTATAGCGGCCTTTGTACACAGCGTACCGCTAAATTTGCGATGCGAAGGATTTGATGATGTTCTAGCCTAAACGCTGACAAAACATTAAAAAACCATTTCAGGGTGCCTTTAAGGCCGCTTAATCTTCTGGCATTCTTTACAGGTTTCCATAACCACCTTATACTTCAATGTGGTCTTTTGTACCACACCCCCTTTTGAAACCTGCTTGCTCTCTTGCCGTCTTTCTCCATGTTAGATTGTAACCTTTCCTGCATCACTTTGAGGAGCAGTATGCTAATACAGTCTCACATAAGTGTCCCTTTAAAGGGATCCTGAAATGGTTGTGACGATTTTGTACAAACACATTGAGCCGGTAGACCAAGTTCAGTAGACCATGATAGATGTAACCTTGAGAGACAAGAAGAGAGCAGAGTGGATCAGAGAATAAACCGAGGTTAGGGATATCATAGTTGAAATCAAGAAGAAGAAATGGACATGGGCCGGGCATGTATTGCATAGGCAGCATAACTGCTGGTCATTAAGAATAACCGACTGGATTCCCAGAGAAGCCAAGTGGGTGAGGGGGAGACAGAAAGAGATGAGATTAGCAAATTTGCGGGTATAAAGTGGCAGCATCAAGCACAGGACCGAGTTGACTGGTGGATCATGGGACAGGCTTTTGTCCTGCAGTGGACGCAGTCAGGCTGATGATGATGATGATGCTGTAGTAATGAAAGTAATGACCAGGCCAACATCTCCGGTGCTACTTCAAGCGACCGCCTCCCCCCTCTAAAATGAGTGGCTGTATCTGCCCTTGCGCTAATACGAGGTGTAATGAAAAGGAAGTAGATCAGCACAAGGACAGCAGCATTGTGTGTACAGCAGAGGCATGAGCTAGCGGACTGGGCTCAGAACTGTGCACGATCAGCCAACAGCTCCAGGGCAATAAATCACCTTTATAGAGGTATCATACTGATGGCTCTACATGAATGTTCTTCGCATCTTTTTTTTTTTTTTTTTCATTAAGGACACAGGGTAGGGCAAAATTTGAAAAAAAGACCATTTTTTTTTTTTTTCATTGCAATCTAGGAGGGGTGTTCCTTTGTGCATAGATTCCACATTTGTGCTTTTCTTAAACGTCATTTTCTGTGACTTAAAATCAGTTTTTTCAAAAGCAAGCAGTCAGTTAAAACGCATCCTAGAGGAAGCCCTTGATATGGGCTCTGTGCTTACAATCTATATTTCTGAAAAAAAAAAAGTAACTTCATGTACCAAAGTCAAAATGATTCTCTAGAGTCAGCTGTGTATAGTATAGAAAATTTTCAGGTAAATTCCAAGGTGCTCCAAAGACACTTGTGCGCTTTTATATTCACACTTTGTCTTTGGAGCACATTGGTTCAAACACTTTCAGCTCCTAGCTTTCTTACACCTTGTGTTTGTCATGCATGACGAGAAGTTGCTGAGGGTAAAGAAGGTCTTCAGCAAGTCAAAAATTTTACGGCAACCTATACTGTTTGTTCTCTAGTAAATGTGAATAAATGCCAGTGACGTACTGAGGCACTGAACACTGAACCAGCAAACTTTTAACCGTTGAACCTCTCAGCTTTGAGGTGAATAGACGTCAGACTCTGGAGTTTTGCAGACATACAGTGCCACCTGTCAATGCAGTTTTGGGTAGTGCAAAGCCCGACACCCTTGCACAGGTTTCCAACTTTAATCTCGATTATCTCAAAACCATGTTTTTTTATTACTTAGGTAACAGTATTTCTTATGTATTCCAAATTAAGCAGTTTTTATTTTTTATTCTGCATAAATGCATACTATTGAAGCAGAATTGAAATTATGCACGTTAGTTTTTCTGTTATGAATCTTTATAGATGGCAATTAACTTAAAATTTAGGGCTTAGTTAAAAATTTGCAAAAAATTTAAAATTAGTCAGATATTTAATAAATCTGCTTCGGTTGAAAGGGTGGAAAATTTTAGGGGGGGAAAATAATTTATGGATTGTGCGAACATGCCATTTAGTCACTGAGAAATTGGTACCTCAAAATGAGCAAAAATGCACAGGATGTATATGGTGTACATGGTGCCATTAAGCAAGATAAAAAGAAATTTCTTCTGGTCTATTAGCCAATCTGCTGCCTTGAAAATTAGTTACCACAGTTTATTTATGACCTTGGTCGACTCTGGTCTAATTACTTTAGTGAATTCCAAGGTGATGACTGGCCCACTAGCTTTATTTATGGTAGGTGCTGTATGGCTTATCTCAATTTGTTTTTTATGACTGTTGGTTCTAGCTCATTTTAACGTCTCCTTAAGGGTTTAGCCCAAGTTATATTTTGCTTAAAACTTTTAATCAAAATAAAATAAAAAAACACTATGGTGCACTTCAATCCTACAATATAAAGCGTTACTATGAAATAACAGATGAAATAAACCAATCTCAACTGCATGAGCTTGCATGTAATACTGCCAGGGCACTCTGTAGTATTAGGAGCCAGGGAAACTGATCGTTTGTAACTATCGCGGGTGTCATGGCAAATAATCGCTAGAATTCTTTTTTTACCATGAAAATGCAATATAAGAAAGCTAAAAAAAGAGCACACCGATTAACTTTACTTAGTGTCATGGTGTAGTTACCTTCATATGACTCAATTTCAGTCATATGAAGGTAACTACAGCATGGCACTCATCTGCGCTGCACATCTAGATTACATCATCACACATCAGTTCTAGAAAAAACAAAATCTCAACTAAAGATGTATTTCCTAGTTAAAACTGATAGCCAGAGCTGCAGCCTGTAGCGAAAGCGGCAGAAACACATTACCGTAACATGGAACGCAGTTCTGTGTGCCTTCGTCACAGGAAGAATGTAAAGTCTCGCTTTGGTAAATAAACCTTTAGAACGAAAAATATTCCGTGCACCTAATATACTACAGATTCCCGAGGCAACATGTCTAGCAGTTGTCGCTGATGAGCGTTGCCGCAGCACAGGAATACGAACGCGAAATTTGAGCACCCTATTGTGCATGTACATACGGCACCTCCTGAACGCGCGTATGCAAACCACAACGCGAACTTGCCAGGTCGAAATAAACTCACCAGCTCAAAGCGGTTTGCAGCCGCTTCCTTGCTCTTTCGAGCATCGCTGGCAGCCACATTGGGCGCCTCATCTTCTGTTTCCGACTGAGCATCAAGTTTCTCAATTTCATTGACGCCTTGGAGCTTCTTCAGCACCCGGTTCGACATCTATACAAAAAGAAAATGTCGGACTGCTCGTGAGGGAGTACTGCCTGAGCAATCCGTCTTCAACAGCTGCTTTTACCGCAGTCTGAAAGCAAAAGACAGGTGCCAACAAAATGAACGGACTGCAATATGAGTAACAGAATTCGGGCAAGTACTCACGTTTACACCACACGGCTACGAAACGCCATGTGTTACAATCCTATAGAGAGACGACCGAGCACTAGCACGCAAGCAACGAGAAAGAGGCGAAGCCACAGAACACCTACCAGTTGGCCAAGCTGTCTTGGCGTGAGTGGTAGCAAGCGCCACTGACCCTTAAAGGGAAACTTTGGTGCATTTTCGACCATACTAAAATATTACTGTTTTTAAATAGTATAGACAGTCTTGCAAAAACTAGAGTGGTTTACTTTGCCCAGGAACTTGTAAATAAATTTATTTAAGCGATAAATGACGAGTCAAAACCGAAACCGAAACAAGGAGCTGGAGACCAGCGCTGGATAGGCGGCGCGCCTTTAAAGAGCACATGGTGGAGAGTTGCAACACAACTTAACCTGACTTAGTCGATCGCAACACAGACCGCGCGTTGATCCCCAACTCTAGCCAGTTAGAGTTCAGTTGAGTTTTCCAATCTGACTGCAGCGCCAGAATACATAGCCCAGCGGACAAAAAAAGCAACCTTGAGACGGCGTCAGTAAAAATGGAACGTGACGCGCGCATCGCGCGTCCTGCATCTGTCGGCAGATTGTGGCCGGGATACTTGGGGGACGCGCGTATGCGTCTATTTTCTGCGTGCCCCCAACGGTGAATGTAGACTACAGTGTACTAGAATAGAGGTCACTGTAATGTAGACTGAGACGGGGCATGCGGGCATAGAGTATGTATACTACTCGTGTGGGGCACACACGGAATCACGTGGACGGAATGAATGGACGAATTGATATAGATGTACTGTTATGTAGATTGGGCGGCGGCTAATGTCACCTAGCCATAATACTTAGTGAACCAAAAATTAGATGAAACTTTTTTTTTCTTTAAATAATGAAGCTGAGGACGGGAACTTTGCATTAAAGGGTTTAATTTTCACTCGTGATTTGATTTAGGGACCAATCAGATAACCACCTTCTAGTTACTTCTACCCGCTTAAAGTCTATCTTGCCCTCCCTGTCCCTTAACCCCAGTGCTTTGAAAAACTCTGCGCCATCATCCTGAACTATAGGGTGAAGCTCTTTACAGAACATTATCAAGTGTTCGGCAGTTTTCTCCTCCTCTCCGCACGCACTGCATACCGTGTCTACCCCTTCGTATTTGGCCCGATATGTCTTGGTTCGCAATACTCACGTCCTGGTCTCAAACAGCAGAGAACTACCCCGAGTATTATCATAGATCCTTTCCTTGGTAATTTTCTGCTTAAAAGTTTGATATATCTCTAGTGCGGACTTCTTACCACATATCAGTCTCCGTTGCCTTCGCCTTCTTCTTAACCGATAGTTCTTTTTGGTTTGGCCCCCTGCTCTTTTCTAAGTATTTACCTGTCAGTTTTCTGGTTCGCTTCTTCCATTTTGTATCGACATTCCTCGTGTACAAATAGCTGAAAATCTTCCTAGCCAACGCTCCTTCCCCATTTCTCTCAATCACTCCTCAAATTTTATTTTGCTGCTGGCTTCCCTGCCCACGGATAATGTCCATCCCGTGTTACCTTGTACTCCTTGATTTGGTGTATTCTTGTGAGCTGCTAAAGCAAGCCTACCTATTCCACGTTGCTTAATTTATAATCTTGCTCGAACCTCTGATCTCATGCACAAGACTGCATTGCCGACAGTCAGACCAAGAACCATGACACCTTTCCAAATTCCTCTCACAACATCATACCTATCGTAATTCCACAGTGCCATATTTTGCATCACCACTGCATTCCTGTTTCCCTTAGTCATTACGTATATTCCGTGTTCCGGTACGGTTCCATTGCTTATCCATACGCCAAGATATTTGTATTTATTCGTTATTTCTAGCGTGAACTCCTGTATCGCAAGCTCACTACCTTCATTATAATTAAAAATTATGACTGCTGATTTTTCCTCACTGAATCTGAAATCTAACTTATCTCCCTCATTACCGCAGATGTCCATCAATCTCTGAAAATCTTCCTTGTTGTCAGCCATTAGCACTATATCATCTGCGTACATAAATGCTGGTACTGCCTGATGAATGAGTTTTCCTTGTTTGACGAAAGAGAAGTTGAAGCCAAGTCCACTCTTCTCTAATTTGGCCTCTAATCCTTGTAGGTACATCATGAATAACAAGGATGACAGAGAACACCCCTGCCTAAGGCCCCCTCTGTGGGCTTTGATACCTGTTTTTTCCATTTCATAAATAAAGTGTTACTTTGATGGATGTCTTTTAAGGGCTCTGTGACTCCATCCTCCACACCTAGTGTGCCCAGTATTCCCCACAAGGCCTCTTGAACCACGCTATCGTAGGCTCCCTTGATATCCAAAAATGCTAGCCACAGAGGCCTGTGTTTCTTTTCTGCTATTTCGATGCACTGCGTCAGTGAGAGCAGATTGTCTTCCAACCTCCTTCGTTTCTGAAACCCGTAGTTTCCCCAGCACCCCCTCATCCTCTATCCACGCCTTAAGTATTTCCTTTATAATCTGCCTCACCAGCCTGTATACCACTGATGACACTGTTTCTTTTCTGCTATTTCGATGCACTGCGTCAGTGAGAGCAGATTGTCTTCCAACCTCCTTCGTTTCTGAAACCCGTAGTTTCCCCAGCACCCCCTCATCCTCTATCCACGCCTTAAGTATTTCCTTTATAATCTGCCTCACCAGCCTGTATACCACTGATGACACTGTTATAGGACGATATAGTTGTTTATGTAAGCTTTGTCCCCTTTTCTTTTGTATATCATGTTCATTCTGCTAAGTTTCCATCCACCCGGGACTTCACCATCAATTATTGCTTTGCTCGCTGCCTCTCTCAAAGTCTGCTTAGGCTTGGGATTTAATTCCTTTATCAGCATAATTGGAATGCCGTCAGGGTCTGTTGATGTACTATTAGGAACCCCGTTCTCAGCCTTTTCCCACTCTCGTTGTGAAAATGGAGCTACTGCACCACTTGATCTATTCTTGTCTATCAAGGTGCATAAGACACTTCCTTGTTGAAATTTTTGTGTCATCCTTGTTCTTATATATTCAACAGCTTCGTCCCCTTTTAGCCTAACACATTGAGCTATAGTTATAAACCTCTGCTCTAGGCTTGTCTCATTCTTTAGAGAGTTTAGATGGTTCCAAAATTTGCAGCTGCTATCCTTTTTATGTACTTCTGCCAGCCAGTGAGCCCCTTTTCTTCTAATCTTTTCATTGATCAAAATGGATGCTTCCCTTCTACAGCTTAGAAAGATATCGCATTTTATTTCAACATCGTCTGTGCGGTTCACCCCACTGCTTAGCATGTCTGTGTTCCCTAGCGCTTGTGGTGTACCCTTTCTTGTCCGCGTTTTTTCACCCTACATTTACGTTTTTATGGATCAGTACGAACTCACTCACCTCTCTGTTTTGCTTCTCTTGAGGCTTCCTGACGTTTTACTGTGGCTCTCTTGACTTCCTTATCTCTCCAACTCTTGGATTTGTGTCTCCTTTTTCGGGGTGACTTGTCACGCGCCTTAGCAAGCTCTAGCTCAAACAGTCTAATTAGATTCGTGTACGTCCACGCTGTTTTATTATACTCAGTGATTACTTTCTCAATTTTTGTTTAGTAGCTATTTCTATTTGCCTTTCTGAATAAAAATCACCCTGCAGTTGCCAATATTGTCTCCTTCCCGCTTTCATTGCTCTTCCAAAACTTAGCTTGATGCGTTTGTGAACACTGCCCAGACTTCTGGAGCCACATTCATCTATGTGCATGTACCATTACCACTGTAATGAATGTCATTCCTGTGCAAAGAGGTGAGCGCCGGGCTCGTACACGTCTTGGTTCACCTCCATTACGCCGTATCCGAGCTGCCGGCGCATACCCCAGATGACACAGTTAGCCTCCACTACCCTCCTTTCAATCCCACGAGACTGCCCCCAGACAGTGGTGCGGATAAAAGAGTGGGCGCGCCCACCTCTGGAAACACGCTCTCTCCGTGGACGGCTGGAGAGAAACCCGCCGCGCACCCGCCATCTCGGAGGCCATCCGTGGAGGAGCAAGTGCTCGATAGTTTCCCGCTCACCACCACAGGTCCTGCACACCATGCGCTGCACACAGCCGCGAGCGTATCGGGGACATAATCAAAACGACTTCGACAGTCAATAGAGTGCCTCGATGCGCACATCCTCGCTCAAGGCACCCTAATAGTATGGTCTCTAGAATCCATACTAATAGTCAAGAGTGCGCAGCGCGCCAGCTCAAACTTCGGAGAGCAGGGCAGCACCGCAGCTAGCTGTTGTCATACAGTGCTCGCTCCGTCGCGATTCTTTCTTGCTAAGCTTGTCTTTGTCACATTAGGCCAATTTGAACCTATAAATGAGCCCATATAGTTAAGTGAATGTAAGTGTAGCCTAAACTAATCTAGCCCAGTTGTGCGTGATATGACCTGATAAATTCGGGCGTAAGTAAGCTTAAACCCAGTCCAGGTTCCTGTTTTTATGTTAAGCGTAGTAAAGCTTCGAAGTGTCCAGAGGGGTCAAAAAAAGTACACGTACATTCTTTATTATGAGGTAAGAAAAACAAATCCTTGGCCCAAACATATAGCAGGCAATGCCAATTATAAAATAAAAATGAACAGGGCAGAGCCAAGTGAATTTTTGAGGAAAGTACACGTACAGCCAAATACAATTAAGTCTAGTTGATCGTGCTATCATTTCATTTAGCTGAGCAAAATCAGCCCAAATAAGGCAAACCTTAACGCGGTCAATTAATCCAAGTCAACTTTCCCATGAGCCTAGGGGCGTCAATCCTTGGAAGATACTAATTGCTTTTACTGACATTACAATAATCAAGCTAATCCTTGTCTAATTAGTGTTAGTCAGAACGCGTACAAGTTATAATCAATTAGTGTGATATCCAATCACACACGATACATACTAGTGTTTCACGTGGCATAATTAGGCTAATTATGCATAACTGAGCTGATGAAGCAGTGCCAAGGTAAGCATACGAAAATCCAATCAAGTGTGGTTGATCATGCCATCATCGAAATAGCCTAATTATAATTAGGTTGATTAAACAAGTTCTAATAAAACACAATAAGTAACTGAAGTAGAATTTTTATGACCTCAGAGAGTCCAAGCTGAGGAAGATACTAATCACCAAGTGTACTCTCAGTAAGCTAAACTATATTTAATAATCCTTAAAACAAATTTTAATTATGTCTTCGCACTTATATTGCGCTTGTTTCATCGTAACTAGGCTCGTTTAAGTTCAACTCGGCCTAACGCAACAAATGCAAGCTGAGCTGGGAAAACTTAATTTTGTGTGATTGGCTTCACCAGGCTTTGCGAGGCTGGCTACGCTTAACTACGCTAATAGACTGGTATAAATCATTACCAGCGCTGGAACCACGCAGCGCCGCTGCGGGCACTACGTAAAAAAAGAAAAAAAAAACGGCACCAATTTATTGGAGCAAAGACAGCGACACCCAGTTGTCGCTTCGGCTACGAGCGCGTCGAAGAGAGCGACATGAGAGGCCAACTGATACGGCGGGACGCGCATGCGCGCCGCAGCAGGCGTCTTGTAACCAGATAGCTCGTCGATGCCTTCGGCTACGCGATCCCGCGGCGGGCACAGTTATGCGCGCACCTGTACATTAACGCGGCCGTGCGTGCAGAAGCGTCGGGAGGTGCTTGAGCAGCGTGATGTCGGCCCCACTTGAAGCGCTTGAATCAGTTTTAGAAATGCTTATAGAGGATTGTCGGCAGTTAGGAATAATAGTTAGTGACTTTCAGTCTGAGAGCCAGACCACGCTAGACCAGAAAATGTAAGTGCTGCAATCGTGGCTTCCCTGTCACTCCTGCTAGGTCGCTTCCGTTGAAGGTAAATTGAATCGGCTTTGCAAAATTGTTTCAGAAATCACATCGTCACTTTTGTTCTGCTTTACGCGCTCCGCAAAGACACAACCACACGAGACGCTAGCTAGCAAGGGACTGTTTATTGATGGCTGCCGCGCCGCGCGCGCGCCCTCTCTCAAGGTGGCCAGGTGAGGTGGGATCATCCCGATTTATTAAGCGGTGGCCCGCCTGGTACAGCTCCGCAAAGACACAACCACACGAGACGCTAGCTAGCAAGGGACTGTTTATTGATGGCTGCCGCGCCGCGCGCGCGCCCTCTCTCAAGGTGGCCAGGTGAGGTGGGATCATCCCGATTTATTAAGCGGTGGCCCGCCTGGTACATCCTCCTTTTTCTTTAGGTGATGTAGTCGGCAAAGCGCGTCGGTGCTCTACGTGGCCTAGTTGATCTTCTGAGACTCGAGTCGGCTGCTTCTTGTGCCTGGCAAGTGACCTTATGCTGGGACGGGACCACGTCGGGGTCCCTTGATGGTTGACTTGCAATGGGTGGTGCACGTGCAGCTGACTGGTTCAGTAGAGCATCCGATGCAGGCGCCTGTTGTGACGGATGTCGTTCCTTTCGTGATGCGGATGCTGTTGTCAAATCGGGCGCTGTATCTGATGTTGAATGTTGTCTATGCTGTATAGGCGACGGGATTATCGGTGCGACATCCTTGTCATCCAGTGGGTCTAAGTGTTCGGGCGTCCTTTTAGATGCTGACGATTCCTTCGATAACGCCGGCCTTCATCTGTACAGACTATGTAAGATCTAGGGCCAGCAAGTTTCTCTACTCGGGCTTTCGGAAACCACCCCTTGTCGTTTCTTATTCTGACGACGTCCCCTTCGGAGAGAGGTGTGAGAGGTATGCCTTTGCCGTGATCCTGTGGATGTTTCCGCACTGACGATGTCGAAGCCGATGAGAAGTCTGGAAGTCGTCCCCGAAGCATCCGTCCCATAAGGAGCTGACTTGGTGTGCGTCCGTCTATCAGGGGCGAGATTCGATAATTGAGCAGTGCAACCCAGAACTCCTCGCCAGCGTACTCACTTTTCTTCAAGAGGCGCTTTACGACCTGTACCCCTTTCTCAGCTAGACCATTGGCCCTGGGGAAGTGTGGACTGGATATGGTATGAGTAAAATCGTATTTTACTGCAAACTGTCTAAACTCTCGCGATGTGAACTGTGGTCCTCCATCGGTACAGACTTCAATGGGTATACCGTGGCGAGCAAACATGGTCCCTAGTGTGTCCACTACGACCTGACTTGTTGACTGAGGCAACTGTTCCACTTCTGGGTAGTTGGAGTAGGCACAGTACGCAACCAGGTAACGCTTGCCCCCATGGTCAAATAGGTCGACACCAATTCGCTGCCACGGCCGCGTTGGGATTTCCCTCGATAACAGTGGCTCTGAAGGTTGCCGGTAGGCAAAGTGCTGACATGTGGCACACTTGCTAATGAGTGACTTGATGTCAGCATTCATCCCAGGCCAGTACATCAGAAGGCGTGCTCTGGCTTTGCACTTGCTCATTCCCAAATGGCCTTCATGAAGACGTTGCAGCATGGATCGCCTCAGACTCTTTGGGATTACCACCCTGCTGCCCCGCAAAAGCACTCCATCAACATATGACAGTTCTGACAAACATGGAGCTAGTTCGCCTGAGACTGGTCGTCCTTCCTGGAGTGCCTCCACCACTTGCTTGAGGTATGGGTCCGCCAGGATTGCAGAGGTCAGTTCAGTCTTCGTGTTCTCACTTACGATGCTGGCTAGCACGCGAGTCGCATGGATGCATACGTCTTGTTCGCTTTCTCCGTCACTCGGTTGGGTTCCTGGAATTCGGGACAGTGTGTCCGCCACTAGCAGATGCTTCCCAGGAACATATTGCAATTTGATATCAAAAGGCATTAGCCTCAAGAAATAGCGCTGCAATCGTGGCGGCATTTCACTCAGGTTCTTTTGTGAAATAGCAAGCAAAGGTCGGTGGTCTGTTTCGACTGTCACTGATAACCCCAGTACGAACTCCCGGAAACGCTCACAAGCAAACGTCACGGCCAGCGCTTCCTTTTCAATTTGGGCATATTTTGTTTCAGCCTTTGAGAGCACCCTTGAAGCATAACCCACTGGGCGCCAATCTTGGTCATGGAGTTGAAGAAGAGCAGCACCTACTGCAAAGCTTGATGCATCAGCTGAGAGTTTCGTTTGCTTCACTGGGTCAAAAACTGCGATCACTGGAGCCGATGTCAAAGCCTTAATAAGATCTTTCCATTCTTTGTCATGGTGAACTTCCCATATGAATTCAACATCATTCTTTATCAATGACCTAAGGGCGTCAGTTCTTTTTGAGAGATTAGGTATGAATTTGCCAAAGTAATTCATAATACCTAAAAACCTTGAACTTCCTGTTTACACGACGGCTTTTGCATGTTGGCAACGCATTCAATGAGACTAGCATCGGGTTTTATTCCTTCTTTGCTGATACAATCTCCCAGGAATTTAACTTCGGCCTTCGCGAACAGACACTTTTCTTTGTTCAGTGTCAGGCCAGCCTTTCTCGCTGCCATCAGTGCTGCACGCAGGCGTTGATCATGCTGCTCTTTTGATGCACCCCAAATTAAAATATCATCGACATATACGCGTGTGCCCGGCAGGTTTTCAAACACTTCCGTCATTGCCTTCTGAAATACTTCGGGGGCGGACGCGATACCAAATGGCAGGCGCAAAAATCGGTATCTTCCGAACGGCGTGCTAAAGGTGCAGATCTTTGAAGTGTCTTCGTCTAAGGGGATCTGGTGAAACCCGCTATTGGCATCAAGCTTGGTGAACATCACCGCTCCTGCCAGCTCTGCTTCTATTTCTTCACGTGAGGGTAGCTGATAATGCTCGCGTTTAAGGCTTCGATTAATGTACCGCGGGTCTAGGCATATTCGCATGCGGCCATTCTTCTTCATAATAAGAACAAGTGGACTCACCCAGTCTGACGGCTCTTCCATTTTGCATATGATGCCCTGCGAGACCATCCGGGCCAACTCCTGCTTAAGTGGCGCTCGCAGTGCGTGTGGCACTTTCCTCGGCGGCATGATCGTGGGGCGCGCATCATCCTTCATTGCCAGCGAATATGGTCTACGGATGCAGCCCAGACCGTGGAATAACTCCGGGAACTCGGTGACCCAGTCGGTGCTAACGTCACTTCTTGAAGATACATCGTGAACGCGGGAAATCAGCCCGAAACGTTCTGCTGCATTCAATCCGAGTAGGACTTGCTTGCCTCTCTTGACCACAAAAAAACTGATATTCTCTTGCTGCTCTCCTAGACGTAGTGGCAGACTGATAACGCCCAAATGATGTATTTTGCTTCCTTCGTAGTTAGTAAGTACTGTGGTCGATGGCCGCACCATGGTCGGCAAACGCATCCTGCGAAAGTACGAGTACGGCAATATGTTCGCTTGCGCTCCTGTATCCACTTTCAGTTCTGTCGGGTGCCCGGCAAGGTCCCCTGCCACCGTCCAATCCTGATTTTTGGACACGTTTCTGATTTGTACCGTGAGAACTTGAATGTCTTCATCGGTAGCGTCCGAGGACTCCTCCAGTGCATCTTCTGTTGCAGCGACGCCTAACTCATGAACGCCGCGTCTACTCCTGCAGCAAGCTGCAAAATGGTTTCTTTGTTGCACAGCGTGCACGTTTTTCCAAACGCTGGGCAGCGTCTTGGTCCGTGAATCTTGCCACAGTAGCCACAGCGTCGACGTTGTCCGCTCGTACGAGACTGTCCGGCAGCGTTTGCAATTTTTTCGACTCTCTGCACTTTCGCTTCGCTTTCAAGAGCCCGGTTCTGCGTTGCTGCCAGTTCCGCGGCTTTGCAGATTTCTACAGCTGATTCTAGGGTTAAGTCCTTCTCCTGAAGCAGGCGTGCACGTAGCTTCTTGTCGACGATACCGCACACTATCTGGTCCCTCACCATCGAGTCCCTAAGTTCGCCAAAATTACAAGTCTGTGCTTTCAACTGAATGTCGCGCAAAAACTGTTCGAAAGGTTCACCATCCTGTTGTTGCCGACTGCGCAGAACGTACCTCTCGAATGTCTCGTTGCACCGAGGCGTGCAGTAGTCTTCGAAGGCTTTGACGATCGAGTCATAGTCCTCTCGTTGTTCTGCTGATAGAGGTAGGGTGTTTAAACACTTCAATTGCCTCTGGGCCCGCGACGTGTAGAAAGATGGCAGCCTTCTGTGCTGGCGTCCGTTTCTTGTTGGTCTCAGTAGCTTTGAAGTAGAGTTCGATTCGTTGGCGGAACTTTTTCCAGTTGTCGGCCGGAGTATTTGTCAGTACAAGTGGCTCGGGTGGTGGTAGGCAGTCCATCTTCAGCGCAGGGTTCGACTGTTACACTTCTGACACCAAGTTCTGCTTTACGCGCTCCCCCATGTTCTGCTTTACGCGCTCCGCAAAGTCACAACCACACGAGACGCTAGCTAGCAAGGGACTGTTTATTGATGGCTGCCGCGCCGCGCGCGCGCCCTCTCTCAAGGTGGCCAGGTGAGGTGGGATCATCCCGATTTATTAAGCGGTGGCCCGCCTGGTACATCCTCCTTTTTCTTTAGGTGATGTAGTCGGCAAAGCGCGTCGGTGCTCTACGTGGCCTAGTTGATCTTCTGAGACTCGAGTCGGCTGCTTCTTGTGCCTGGCAAGTGACCTTATGCTGGGACGGGACCACGTCGGGGTCCCTTGATGGTTGACTTGCAATGGGTGGTGCACGTGCAGCTGACTGGTTCAGTAGAGCATCCGATGCAGGCGCCTGTTGTGACGGATGTCGTTCCTTTCGTGATGCGGATGCTGTTGTCAAATCGGGCGCTGTATCTGATGTTGAATGTTGTCTATGCTGTATAGGCGACGGGATTATCGGTGCGACATCCTTGTCATCCAGTGGGTCTAAGTGTTCGGGCGTCCTTTTTAGATGCTGACGATTCCTTCGATAACGCCGGCCTTCATCTGTACAGACTATGTAAGATCTAGGGCCAGCAAGTTTCTCTACTCGGGCTTTCGGAAACCACCCCTTGTCGTTTCTTATTCTGACGACGTCCCCTTCGGAGAGAGGTGTGAGAGGTATGCCTTTGCCGTGATCCTGTGGATGTTTCCGCACTGACGATGTCGAAGCCGATGAGAAGTCTGGAAGTCGTCCCCGAAGCATCCGTCCCATAAGGAGCTGACTTGGTGTGCGTCCGTCTATCAGGGGCGAGATTCGATAATTGAGCAGTGCAACCCAGAACTCCTCGCCAGCGTACTCACTTTTCTTCAAGAGGCGCTTTACGACCTGTACCCCTTTCTCAGCTAGACCATTGGCCCTGGGGAAGTGTGGACTGGATATGGTATGAGTAAAATCGTATTTTACTGCAAACTGTCTAAACTCTCGCGATGTGAACTGTGGTCCTCCATCGGTACAGACTTCAATGGGTATACCGTGGCGAGCAAACATGGTCCCTAGTGTGTCCACTACGACCTGACTTGTTGACTGAGGCAACTGTTCCACTTCTGGGTAGTTGGAGTAGGCACAGTACGCAACCAGGTAACGCTTGCCCCCATGGTCAAATAGGTCGACACCAATTCGCTGCCACGGCCGCGTTGGGATTTCCCTCGATAACAGTGGCTCTGAAGGTTGCCGGTAGGCAAAGTGCTGACATGTGGCACACTTGCTAATGAGTGACTTGATGTCAGCATTCATCCCAGGCCAGTACATCAGAAGGCGTGCTCTGGCTTTGCACTTGCTCATTCCCAAATGGCCTTCATGAAGACGTTGCAGCATGGATCGCCTCAGACTCTTTGGGATTACCACCCTGCTGCCCCGCAAAAGCACTCCATCAACATATGACAGTTCTGACAAACATGGAGCTAGTTCGCCTGAGACTGGTCGTCCTTCCTGGAGTGCCTCCACCACTTGCTTGAGGTATGGGTCCGCCAGGATTGCAGAGGTCAGTTCAGTCTTCGTGTTCTCACTTACGATGCTGGCTAGCACGCGAGTCGCATGGATGCATACGTCTTGTTCGCTTTCTCCGTCACTCGGTTGGGTTCCTGGAATTCGGGACAGTGTGTCCGCCACTAGCAGATGCTTCCCAGGAACATATTGCAATTTGATATCAAAAGGCATTAGCCTCAAGAAATAGCGCTGCAATCGTGGCGGCATTTCACTCAGGTTCTTTTGTGAAATAGCAAGCAAAGGTCGGTGGTCTGTTTCGACTGTCACTGATAACCCCAGTACGAACTCCCGGAAACGCTCACAAGCAAACGTCACGGCCAGCGCTTCCTTTTCAATTTGGGCATATTTTGTTTCAGCCTTTGAGAGCACCCTTGAAGCATAACCCACTGGGCGCCAATCTTGGTCATGGAGTTGAAGAAGAGCAGCACCTACTGCAAAGCTTGATGCATCAGCTGAGAGTTTCGTTTGCTTCACTGGGTCAAAAACTGCGATCACTGGAGCCGATGTCAAAGCCTTAATAAGATCTTTCCATTCTTTGTCATGGTGAACTTCCCATATGAATTCAACATCATTCTTTATCAATGACCTAAGGGCGTCAGTTCTTTTTGAGAGATTAGGTATGAATTTGCCAAAGTAATTCATAATACCTAAAAACCTTTGAACTTCCTGTTTACACGACGGCTTTTGCATGTTGGCAACGCATTCAATGAGACTAGCATCGGGTTTTATTCCTTCTTTGCTGATACAATCTCCCAGGAATTTAACTTCGGCCTTCGCGAACAGACACTTTTCTTTGTTCAGTGTCAGGCCAGCCTTTCTCGCTGCCATCAGTGCTGCACGCAGGCGTTGATCATGCTGCTCTTTTGATGCACCCCAAATTAAAATATCATCGACATATACGCGTGTGCCCGGCAGGTTTTCAAACACTTCCGTCATTGCCTTCTGAAATACTTCGGGGGCGGACGCGATACCAAATGGCAGGCGCAAAAATCGGTATCTTCCGAACGGCGTGCTAAAGGTGCAGATCTTTGAAGTGTCTTCGTCTAAGGGGATCTGGTGAAACCCGCTATTGGCATCAAGCTTGGTGAACATCACCGCTCCTGCCAGCTCTGCTTCTATTTCTTCACGTGAGGGTAGCTGATAATGCTCGCGTTTAAGGCTTCGATTAATGTACCGCGGGTCTAGGCATATTCGCATGCGGCCATTCTTCTTCATAATAAGAACAAGTGGACTCACCCAGTCTGACGGCTCTTCCATTTTGCATATGATGCCCTGCGAGACCATCCGGGCCAACTCCTGCTTAAGTGGCGCTCGCAGTGCGTGTGGCACTTTCCTCGGCGGCATGATCGTGGGGCGCGCATCATCCTTCATTGCCAGCGAATATGGTCTACGGATGCAGCCCAGACCGTGGAATAACTCCGGGAACTCGGTGACCCAGTCGGTGCTAACGTCACTTCTTGAAGATACATCGTGAACGCGGGAAATCAGCCCGAAACGTTCTGCTGCATTCAATCCGAGTAGGACTTGCTTGCCTCTCTTGACCACAAAAAAACTGATATTCTCTTGCTGCTCTCCTAGACGTAGTGGCAGACTGATAACGCCCAAATGATGTATTTTGCTTCCTTCGTAGTTAGTAAGTACTGTGGTCGATGGCCGCACCATGGTCGGCAAACGCATCCTGCGAAAGTACGAGTACGGCAATATGTTCGCTTGCGCTCCTGTATCCACTTTCAGTTCTGTCGGGTGCCCGGCAAGGTCCCCTGCCACCGTCCAATCCTGATTTTTGGACACGTTTCTGATTTGTACCGTGAGAACTTGAATGTCTTCATCGGTAGCGTCCGAGGACTCCTCCAGTGCATCTTCTGTTGCAGCGACGCCTAACTCATGAACGCCGCGTCTACTCCTGCAGCAAGCTGCAAAATGGTTTCTTTTGTTGCACAGCGTGCACGTTTTTCCAAACGCTGGGCAGCGTCTTGGTCCGTGAATCTTGCCACAGTAGCCACAGCGTCGACGTTGTCCGCTCGTACGAGACTGTCCGGCAGCGTTTGCAATTTTTTCGACTCTCTGCACTTTCGCTTCGCTTTCAAGAGCCCGGTTCTGCGTTGCTGCCAGTTCCGCGGCTTTGCAGATTTCTACAGCTGATTCTAGGGTTAAGTCCTTCTCCTGAAGCAGGCGTGCACGTAGCTTCTTGTCGACGATACCGCACACTATCTGGTCCCTCACCATCGAGTCCCTAAGTTCGCCAAAATTACAAGTCTGTGCTTTCAACTGAATGTCGCGCAAAAACTGTTCGAAAGGTTCACCATCCTGTTGTTGCCGACTGCGCAGAACGTACCTCTCGAATGTCTCGTTGCACCGAGGCGTGCAGTAGTCTTCGAAGGCTTTGACGATCGAGTCATAGTCCTCTCGTTGTTCTGCTGATAGAGGTAGGGTGTTAAACACTTCAATTGCCTCTGGGCCCGCGACGTGTAGAAAGATGGCAGCCTTCTGTGCTGGCGTCCGTTTCTTGTTGGTCTCAGTAGCTTTGAAGTAGAGTTCGATTCGTTGGCGGAACTTTTTCCAGTTGTCGGCCGGAGTATTTGTCAGTACAAGTGGCTCGGGTGGTGGTAGGCAGTCCATCTTCCATGGAGTTGAAGAAGAGCAGCACCTACTGCAAAGCTTGATGCATCAGCTGAGAGTTTCGTTTGCTTCACTGGGTCAAAAACTGCGATCACTGGAGCCGATGTCAAAGCCTTAATAAGATCTTTCCATTCTTTGTCATGGTGAACTTCCCATATGAATTCAACATCATTCTTTATCAATGACCTAAGGGCGTCAGTTCTTTTTGAGAGATTAGGTATGAATTTGCCAAAGTAATTCATAATACCTAAAAACCTTTGAACTTCCTGTTTACACGACGGCTTTTGCATGTTGGCAACGCATTCAATGAGACTAGCATCGGGTTTTATTCCTTCTTTGCTGATACAATCTCCCAGGAATTTAACTTCGGCCTTCGCGAACAGACACTTTTCTTTGTTCAGTGTCAGGCCAGCCTTTCTCGCTGCCATCAGTGCTGCACGCAGGCGTTGATCATGCTGCTCTTTTGATGTCAGCTCCTTATGGGACGGATGCTTCGGGGACGACTTCCAGACTTCTCATCGGCTTCGACATCGTCAGTGCGGAAACATCCACAGGATCACGGCAAAGGCATACCTCTCACACCTCTCTCAAGGTGGCCAGGTGAGGTGGGATCATCCCGATTTATTAAGCGGTGGCCCGCCTGGTACAACTTTGATGCAAGAGGTGGACCGATTTAAGCCAGAAGTCCAAGACATACAAGTGCCATTGGAAGTGTTCGAGTAAGTTAGTAGGCTTTCACTGACCAAATATATACATATTTTTTTTTTGCTAACGTGTTGTCTTTTGACTTTCTGTGCAGCTACATTGACCATGGAAGAAATCCGCAGCAGTGTACCAAAGACTACCTGGAAGAGGCGCTGACCAAGAATATGCAAGTCAAAGGCAAGATTGAATCCTATCGCGTAAGTAAATATCTAAAGCTTCTGACTTCTGTAATAGATTATAGAAGCGTGCTGTGTCTAAAGGTACGCCGGGAGCACACGAATGCTAAAAGCTAAACGTACGTCAGACGTACGCGAAACCGGGAGTCGAAACCGATATACACATGTTTAGTTTTTTTAGATATCTTTGCAGTTACTGTATTATCATGGTTGCTGTTTCTATTTTTGGAATTTGGACTTGATTTTTATATATTTATTTATTTTTATTATCTAAAATGGCGAACCCAAGGAGGGGGGGGGGGGACAGGTGGCGATTGCCCTTGCCCTCCTCTCTTCAGTGCTTGCCATCCACCTGCTATCACTAAAGCCCCTATACCTTCAAAAAAGTACCGCTTTCTTTTAAACTGCGCTGCTTCCTCCTCTCCGCGCTGGAGCAAGCTCGTGGCGCGTTACAGGGGGCGCCACTGTCGCAAGCGAAAGAGAAAAAAGCAACGCGCCTGAGAGGAGGCAGCGAGGGAGAGAGCAGATGGTGGTACTTTTGCCAAGTGTAGGGGCTTTAGCTATCATCAGTTAGGACAAATGAGTGGCATCACTGTGAGCACACATTAACAGTATTTATGCCATTACAGGGTTTTTGTGCTAGTAAAAACAAACAAAAGTAATGACCACGTCCCTATTTTCGGTGTTAATTCAAGCGACCGTTTCCCCTAAAATGGGTGGCTGGATTCGTCCCTAGGTCACGGCTACCGCGTACAAGTTTGCAAAAGACCAACAAGGAACGAGCTGGGCGACACTGCCGATGACAACGGAAAACTTGGGGCATCGCGTGGTTGACGAATGACGTCGCGGTTGGTGGTGCCAGTCGTTGACTTCCCTCAGTCACCGGTGTGAATGCCTCCTTAAATGGTTACTGACACAAAACTGAAAACGTGATAACTTGTCGAATAGATATTAAAGTGCGTGTCATGTCGCCTCCTCACAGCACGCCAAGCGCGCCTTTAGTTTTCGTGTAAACGACGAACCGCCATCTGTGTCACAAGTTTGCGCTAGCTGCCACGATCCTTGCAAGCGTTCTTTCCTAGCAGACCTTTCTTTTTGAACGGAAAGAAGGGGGCAGACTAGCACAGATTTTCGCCTTGGCAGTGCTTTCTTTTATCTTTTTTTTTTTTTGGGGGGGGGGGTCCACGCGTATAGTTGCAACCTCTGATAGGAGGTCAGCAACGTCACACACCGCGAAAGACAACACTGTACTATGACTGAGTGTGCGCGCGTGTGCTGCTGAATGTGGTGTGTTTATCTCTCTTCCCTCTCTGCTCTCTATCTTTCATCTCCCCCATCACTCTCCCATGCGCAGGGTAGCAAACCGGCTGCCTATAGGCTGGTTAACCTCCCTGCCGTTCTTTTCCCCCTGTTTTCCTTTTGATAGGGGGTCATAACAGCGCCTAGGGCCTTCGCTGCAAAAAAAAAAAAAAAGTGCCCGGGCAAATTGTATTGGCGTAAACGTGTTTTTCTGTGTCCATGTCGTCAGTTGAGTTAGCATGGAAACCATTCTGGGTGCCGCCTCACTCGATGCTCTTTGGAATCGCAACTGTGCCCGTCTTTCAAAAACCAACCAGTGTGCATGAGCCCACTTTTTGTATCACGTGAGTAAGAGAGAAAGTGCAACGTCGGACGTATCTCTATAGACTCCTTGATCCACGGTTCCACGGTTCCACGAAGTCAATCGTGCGCGAACGGGCGGGACAGGCTTCTAGTGGCAAAGTGCGCTAAAATTTAGGCAGCGGATATAGTGCCAGTAACCGGAATTTTACTGTTCTCCGATAGTTTGCCGGCACTCTCGCCCAACCGTCTAATGAATGCTGCTTTCGTGTCGGTCGCGCGCCAGGCTGAGGCAGTATACAGGAGGACACGAGCACAAGAATGGTGCTGCACGCACGACGTTGATCGTATATGTTGATATCGCAAATGATTGTACGCACGTTGATTAAAAAAAAAATAAAACCAGGCTCATCAATAACCCTACCGATCCGGCTTCCTTAGATCGTAATAATTACAACAGGTGCGATTGTTGGCATCGACATTAACATGCCTGTTCTCAAAGGGTGGGCAAACCACGAATGCGGACGAAATACTGAGAACTGCGAAGTGGCAAGTCGCGGGTTACTAGCGCCCAAGTGGCTTGGGCAAACCACGTATCCGTACGCTAGCGAAATAAATAGAGGAGGCGTTGAAAATACCGCGAAGTGGCGCGCCATGGGTTGCGGGTGCCCCAGTGACACGGGCACTCCATAGAGTAATATAAAAGGTATGGTCACGCCACTGACACTATATAGCAATACTGTAAGAGCCAACGGGAAAACGTGCCAGACGTAACTTGTGCAGCTTCTGTCGTCACATTATCCGATAATACTAAATGGCCGTCATTCTCGCCTGATTTGCTGTAGTCACTGCCAGCACAAGATACGCAGCCTAAATTTAATCCCCACTACCATAGTAGGCAGTAGGCAAAAGGGTAAGCCACGTTGCTCACGAAACCAGACTTCGTTCATATGGTTAGAAAGGTTATACGTATGTGAACACAATACATATTTACCTTGTGCTTTTAATAATCGTGGGATAAAATGAGACATCCCAGCTTCTCGCAGAATAGGCAGGACCAAACTTGTTAAAGACGGTTAAAGCAGAAGTAAATTGTTTTAAAAGGGTTGAATTCGCTTCTGGTACTTGCCTATATGCGCCTAATTTGGTCTTAATATTGCTACTTGCTCATCTCGTATAAGATTGTTTGATAGAAGGAAATGAATAAAATAATATTATTATAACATGCCAAGGCAAGGTTCTTAAATTAAGTGTGCTGTAGAAAGCCTGGTACGTTGACTGTCCCCAACACCAAACTTTGCGGGCCACCCCTTCCTGACCCAGGCTTTCCTGCCTTGTGTCAATATTATGTGTGAACAGTAGGCCATGGTGCCTTTGTGTACCATTAAAGAGGTCCTGAAACACTTTTTTTGAGTAACCATGAAATTATTTCACTGGGAAGCACATTGACTCGCAAATTGAACGCACAAAATTTTAAGAATCCGTTCAGTACGAGCGGAGCTACGATTTCTCACGCGCTGCAGTCGCATTCTCTCTTCTCTTGTCCCGATGAAAGCGCTGGAAGCTAAGCAGGAAGGGATGGGAGGGGCAAACAAACAAACAAAACGTCACTCACGCCTTGTGACCTTGAGCACTTTTTTTTTTCCAATACACGGCTTTTTCAGTGCAATCGCACGCGTGAACTCGTAACGGCCTCTCGCGTCGATCTCTGTGACAACCGAGCGCGCCATGTTCGAATAAGCCAATGGCTGATACATGGGTAATCTACGTGTGATTTTTGAGCGTTTTCCGCCATTTGTTGAGGGAAGAGAAAGCAATTTTTTAGCTGACTTTGATAATTTGTTGTGAATTTCAGGCCGCGTGCTGCGCTATAACATTTGGCTCGCGTGTTGACAGGAACCTCTACTACCGATCGGCAGTGTTTCCTGACCATGCTCATAAGAGTTGCAGGGCCCCTTTAATGGTTTACTGGTCCTCTTTCTTCTAAAGTTCACCTACTATCAGTACTGTTAAATGCCGAGCAAGCGCCCCACCCAAGCAATCACCCCCTTTCCTTTTTCGTAAGATCCGAAATAAGCACTAACCAAGCGAGCGCTCCCTCGCCCTCCTTCTGCGGCCACTTTTTTTTTTTCCAAGATAAGCATCGCTACAGTGTACAAAAAGGTGCCACAAGAATGGATACACTGAACGCGTATCTATATGTTGTTTATGAAATGCTTTGTAAATAATTTCATTATAAACATGGATGGACATTTTATTCTTAGCGGCTCTCCCGCCGCCATGTCGAATTTCGGACCCGGAGTCGGAACTGAGCAAGCACCCTCTTCCCAAATGTGGTTGGATTATTCTTCATCATAGGAGGTGGGGAAGGGGGGACGGGGTACTTGCTCAGTATTTCGCGGTATACGCGATTGGGTGAAGAGAATATTTTGCATGTGCCAGCATGGCTTCGAGTGATACTGGTTGGCACTTTTATGGTTAAATCTTAATTGCAATAAAGAAAGTGGATTGTGGAGCATCCTCCACCATAGCCCGATGGAGGGCACCACATGTGCACTGTGATAGTTGTGGGTTTGGCCGCGGTCGGCGTCAATTTGTTTTGCACCCAGTTTCATATATATATATATATATTATATATATATATATATATATATATATATATATATATATATATATATATATATATATATATATATATATATATATGCTACATTTCCTCAAAACCTGGCGACTCTGCGCCCAACCTATAGTGTATGCCGACTTTCAGAAGCGAAACTTGGGAGTTTTCGAATAGCGTACCACAAAGCTTTTTGTGGTGGTCGCCGCCATTGCGCATGCGTCACAACGCTAACGGCCACTAGCGTTTGCGGTCCGCCCACGAAAAATCCGAAATAGCATTTGGCCCGCAAAGCCCCTTCGTGGTGACTCAAGCGTGAGTCAGCGTTTGCTGGGACAAACGCTATTTGAAAACTCGTAAGGTGTCCATACGCATGACACCAGTGGCCTAGCCAAGGGAGGGGGGTTCAGACCCCCCCCGTAATATTTCCTCCACCCCCCCCCCCCCTGCCACTTGCTCTACTTATTTATTTTTCCGCCGCTTCTCGCTGACATGATTTTGAAACTAAGCTCTGTTACTTATTATCAATGCTGGGTGCTTTTACAATGAACAATGTCTGCATACGGAAAAACGTGCGCGATGTTCCTCAAGGCTTAGCACTCTGTGAGGTTTTGGGCAGGAATCTCGGCCGCGAGCGTTTCAAGTTGGCTCGGCGACGGGATTAATGCTCAAGTGGTGGTCGTACTTGTAACCGCCGGAACAGATCTCGCCGGAGTCGATCACTAATACGATAATTTTAATTAGGCAGTGGTTCGTTTTAATGGAAATAGCAGAATTGCAAGGTCCGATAGGCCACGTTCAAGCATATTACAATGCGACTCTTTGTACGTGTGGTAAGATATACTCACGCCAGAGAATAACATTTCTATTGAACCTTCGCACGTTCTGCTATAACATCTAAACACACACGCGCGCGCGCACGCACGCACGCACGCACACGCACACACACACACACACACACACACACACACACACACACACACACACACACACACACACACACACACACACACACACGCACGCACGCGCACGCACGCGCACGCACGCACGCACACACACACGCACACACACACGCACACACACACACACACACACACACACGCACGCACACACGCACACACACACGCACACACACACACACACACACACACACACACACACACACACACACACACACACACACAAATGCCTGCCTAAAAAGAAATATCAAGAAATTCGAATGCCACTGCTAATGATGTATACTTTCACAGCCTCTTCAAGAATAAAAAGTTGCGAGGAGCGCGTCACTATGTTTGTAGAAACCCCCTTTAGTGCAGCGTTCGAAGCTTAATTACTTTTCGGCACACTACCGTGTACCGGACAACATAAAAACTATTCAGTTTGATACGCTTTTAGCATACAAAAACTATGAACGTCTATTGCCAAGTGTCCAAACAATTGTCAAGCATACCGACTGAGAAAACGCGAAATGGCTGAATAAACGCCACAAAAATCGAAAGATGTAAGTTTAAGACAGCTTCATAAATAGAACAACGACTTCGTCACGCATTTAGTGCCATATGATTCAGCTACATGCATCGTAGGTTTTTTCTTCCAGCCTCGAAGCAAGAAGCTGGCTCTGAAAAAAAAAAAAACAAACAAACTTCAGGTGCTTGGCACGCACAGGCGAAATCACTTCGCTTTTTAACTAGATAGCGCCTTGTAGTCTACTAAATATGCGATATGTCATTGCTGCGATAAATGAGATTTAAAAACTCTGAATAAAACAACTGAGTGGGTCACTGTTGTGACAACCCCCAGCTAATTAGCTGCGGCTGCTGCCCCGACGGAGCCACCGCCACTTGTTTCCCCGTCCCTCTGGATGGATGGATCGATATGGCTGTACCCTTTAGATCAGGCGGTGGCTAACGCCACCAAGCCGTAATACTTAGTGAACCACAAACTAGATTTATTTCTTTTTTCTTTAAATAGTGAGGTTGAGAACTCGTACTTTGCAGTGAAGGGTTTAATTTTCACTCGTGCCTTGACTTTAGCTACCAATCAAATAACCTCCTTCTAGTTAATTCTACCAGCTTAAAGTCTATTTTGCCCTCCCTGTCTCTAAACCCCAGTGCTTTGAAAAACTCTGCGCCATCATCCTGAACTATAGGGTGAAGCCCTTTACAGAATATTATCAAGTGTTCGGCAGTTTCCTCTTCCTCTCCACACGCACTGCATACCGTGTCTACCCCTTCGTATTTGGCCCGATATGTCTTGGTTCGCAATACTCCCATCCTGGCCTCAAACAGTAGAGAACTACCCCGAGTATTATCATAGATCCTTTCCTTAGCAATTTCCTGCATGAAATTTCGATAGATTTCTAGTGCCGACTTCTTAATCATGCCTATTTTATCACGCCTATGGTTTACCCAAGCCTAGCATGGGTACACCATCTAACGGTTAGTCAGACCTTTCCTTGCTCGCACTTCCTCCGTGCTTGCTCGGCCGCAAAAAGGCTAGAGAGGCCACTCTTTACCAAACTATATTTCTCTATGTGAAGACTACGAAAATTTGCCCCCGCCCCGTCGCGCTGCAGCGACCGCAACTGACCTTACGGCTGACACGCGCTCTCCCATAGAAAGTCGTTCCACGCCACGGGCAATACCGTGCGCTCTTTCCTCCAGCGGCCATGGTATTTTAGACTCTGGTGGCTGGTACGAGTTCTAATATTTCTTTGCCCCATGCTATTGTTCAAAAATGAAAGGGCAGCAAAAGAAATACCACTCTATTTACAACAGTGTTTCTCTCTCCGAAACAATTCTTGGTAATGTAACAGCTCTGTGTAAGTTTATGTGCTACCACATTCACTGCTTTAAATGTGATTTATTCCAAAGCAATGGTAGTTTCTGATCTGTTGCTGTCATTCGATTAAAAACGAGAACAGAGAGAATGGTGAGGATATGGGTGGCTATGGTGTGGTAGCAGTGTTCTTGTGGTTCTGCTTGCTTTGTTTATGACACCTTCCCTGACCTAGTGGTTGTAAATGTGCACGCAGTCACC